CTCCTTGCTGCTACCTTTATGGGCTCCAAATGATTTCTATTCCCACAGCTGGGTCGCCCCACCCCCCACCCCCCAGGCTTGTTTCTGCCTGCCCAGCTGATGATGTTTTTCTGGCTCCAGAAAACTTCCGGGGTTGTTACAAACAGTGCTTGGGGGACAAAGGATTGCTCAGATTAAAACAACAACAAAACTAGGACGGTATTGCAAAAATCCGGATGGGTGGCCATCCCACATGAACAATTTGTGATGTTTCCCTCTTCTTTTTTTGTCCCCATTATTCAACAGGAACAATGCCATTATTTTGAAAACTTGGGAATTACACTAAGGTTTAGTTGTGGCCAAATGTCTATTCAATAGCCAGTGCTGCTGAGATACCTGAAACACGTTTTCTTATTTTATTATTTTTATGGATCTTATTACTTCATTGTTGCATTTGACTATTCTATGGAATGAGCAGTAACTGAGAAATAAGAATAAATTCAATCCTAAATCTAGGTCTCAAATTAATAAGCCTTTTCTCTCTGCAGTCTGGAGAATAATTGGGAAAAAAAGGCTCAGGTCAAATAGGATGTTGTAACATTTCATTTTCTTTTGTTCATTAGAATATTATGTAATTATTATTTGCACAATGGGCTTTTGCTTATAACTCTGATTACATTGAGTTTAACTGGACACAAACTGTTGTTAAAAAATAGAATGAGAAAATGTTGACAGTCTTGTCAGTGTTTCCTACCAGCGTTCTGTCTTGACAACAGCTACAGCAGGACATGCTATTGTCATTTGGAGGCTCCTAAAAATAGAAGTGGCCAAGTTTACGTTTCTAATCTCTAAATTCAGTGCACAGGTCACCACTCAAACACCTTCTCTATGTGTGCATTAAATCATCACTACTAAATGCTCTTACTCATGACGCCTCACAGTGAGGCCTGAAATCCCTGAGTCCCTTGCTGCTGAGCACATACATGTGCCTTACTAGTGGAAGTCACTTGACCTCTCTTCTCTTCATTGCTAAAATTTTAAATAATTATTTCAAATTAGCGCAGAGTAAATAGAATGAAAAAATCCTTTATACTAAGGAAACATGCTCATTTCTGATTGACTTTATTTGAGCTGTGTCCAGTATGTGAATGTACTTAGTTTTTTTTCCTTTAGTTCATGTAATGGTTGTAATGAAAATTAGCACTGCTATTTATGGAAACCTCTTTTTTTTCCCTAGGAAAACAGTTGGGCAAAACTTCTTTGTGTTTTGGCCTGATCTTGGATAGCTCTCAGACATTCTTAATTTATGGCCCATCATCATCTGCTATTATTAGATTTCTCAAATGAATTCATCTCTTAATTGTGACCAAAGCTAAGTTATGAACGAGTCTTCATGAAGGCAATTATTCTTGGATGCTCACGGAGCCAAATTTCTGTTTCAGTTTTGGAGTGTTTCATTATATTTTATGTATGTATTTATTTACTTATTTATCCTCACCTGAGGACATGCTTATTGACTTTTCATTTTATTTTATTTTATTTTTAGAGAGCAGGGAAGTTAGGGGAAAAGAGAGAGGGAGAAACGTCAGTGTGAGGGAGAAACATCGATTGGTGGCTCTTGCACATGCCCTGAGCAGGGACTGAACCCGCACCCTGGACATATAAATGATGCTCTAGCCAACTGAGTCACACTGGCCAGGGCAATTTAGGAATATTTTAGTACAGGACAAGTGACTAAGGTCTCTCTCTAATTCTATCACTGGAATTACAGTGACACAGAATGTCACTGTTCCTCAGACTGTTCACCCAAAGTCAAGTAAATGGAGTTACAGAAATTCACTATGAACGATTTCCATAGGAGGTAAAATAAATCAGTCTTTTTACTCATTTATAAAATAAGTACCAAAGAAGCATATTATTTTTTTGTTGTTATTAAATGGAAACTTAAAGTACTCAAATTCACTTTTTGTTAGTCACAAACCCATCATCAAATGAGACCAGGAACAGATTTTTGGAGCCAAAGTAAATGGAAAATAAAGATTTTTTTCATGAGAAAGTTTCTGAATGGCACTTGTATTAATGTATATAATTCCCTTCAGTGGTCTGTTAATCGCCACAGTCATCACTTCTTAGAATCCTCCACAACGACTTTCAACAAGTGCTTCTTTTACCCTCCCTCCCTCTTTCCCTCTCTCCCACACTATGATACTGTTTTCAGATGTATTAAAGGGGTTAATGTCGGGGGGGACCTCAATAGCAAGATGAAGAGTCCTTATACTTGAGATGAAACTGCCTTGTTTAAAATTCTTTACTGAAAAAATAATTCATTAGACTGAAAACTAATTGATTAGACTGAAAACATGAGCATTGCTATTAATAGGTCAGATCCCATTTTCTCATGTTCTTCATTTTCTTGGTAATGGCTAAGGCAAGGGAAACTTTATGGCTGAGTGGATAGATCTGTGCTTGGGGACACTGACTTCAGAAGGCCAGAATGCCCCCAAATACCGCTTGCTTTCCCTGAAACCTGCTTCAATTAATTTATGTCATCCTTTCTTGATCTTACTCATACATGAAAGCTATTTATTGGAACCAGAAGTTTTATAAGCACACTAGAAGCTGTGTAACATAGCCTGGCATTTCAATTATTAAAATTTATTTTTTTAATTGTCAGAGAATTCCTCTTAATGTTATGCTCTAGGATTCCATTCCAAGTGTCTGTTCACATTAACAATAACATTCCTTTGAAAAAGAAATCCTGCGTACTTTTTTGCCTGTGTCATATCTGTTTTGAGTTAATTAAAAGATATATTGAAACATAATAAAACTATTTATCCTCTAATACATTTTCTCAGATAAAATGAGTTTAGCTTTAAAAAAAGGTGTGAGAATTTTACTGTGATCCCATTCAAATAAAGGACTACTATGCACATTACTTTTTATAATATTGTCTGTATTGAATAGTTGCAATTTCAGTATTTTTCATTTCTTACCAACTAAGATTGAGAAGATGATAATGTGCTTTCACAATTTTCTGGATGAATAACTGCTTTTAGCAAACAACTCATTTTCTACCATATAGACTCATCTTTTAAGAATGGAACCAAGTATTATTTCATATTCAGATGTTCTTGAAGATTTCTTGTTTGAATAGTAAATTGCACATGATGTTTTAGGTGGCATGTATTTGTTTCTATTGAAAGAACATGTCCTATTTCTGAGGAAGGGAAAACAATTTGTAAGACATCAAATGTTTCTTGCAAAACAATTTGGTGAAATAAACGTAAATGAATCAGATCCATGTGAACTGTATTTCAATTAAAAAGAATGGGTTTAAATATAAAGGGAGTAAAGTGCTTGAGGGAAAGAGTGTGGCAAGTCAGGAAGTGACATTTGTTTTGTTTTCATTGGTTTTGGATTCTTGGAAAATGGCCTGTTACTCTGAATTCAACTTCATTCAGATTCTCCCTTAAGCCTAATAAGAGAGTTCCAGAATGGGACGCTAATAAGCAAATTCATATTATAGCTTTATCTGGTTCCAATGATAACAACAGAGGCATCAAATATTGCCACTGTGCAGTCCTTCAAAAGCACTTTCAATTTAAAGTTAGTGGTTTTTCTAGTTTTTATTTTCTTTTGCGTGTAAACAATAAATCATAATGATACTAAGCATTTTTTTCAAAGAACCACATGTAAAGTTTTCAGACTCACACATCAACTTCATATTTATTTCCTCTCACTGAAGATGATCCAATCTAAATGAAAACCATGTGGGGGTTGAATGTATACATACAGAGTATACACAAAAGCCAGAGAAGGGCAGGGGAGAAAGGCGATGGTAGAAACAGAGAGAATGAAAGAGAGTGAGAGAAAGAGAAGGAGAAAAGGTACTAGCGATGCATACAGAGTTAGGCCATCAAACCTCATGTCTTAAGTAAAGCAATCAAGTCACACTTATTATCTGAGTCACAAAAATGTTATCCCACAGTTTTATATTTATATCACTTATGCTTGCTTTAAAAACTGCATAGCTTTTTTTGTATTTTTCAATTAAAAAATAACTATACATTACTCTGAAAATCAGGAGGGAAATGAACAATCAAAAAAAAAGAGGAAGAGAAAAAGAAAAGAAAGTCTCCCTGTACGCATGCCTCAGAATATGAGTATGTTTGATATGTGGTGTGACATTTCAATTTATCAACTCTTAGCCTCTGAAAACAGGAACGTTTTAAGTGGTCTAATAATTTGCAAAAGGCAAGGAGTATATAACTGCAGAATCTGTTTTTATTTTTTGAGATGCTCCTTAAGTAGCCTTCTGAACACATAACTTGGTGGTGAAATGTAGGAATAAAAGTTATTTCTGCATAATTTGACGGTGCAGTAGCCAATGGGACTATTCTTGTGTGGAAGGAGCCTGCTCTGTTGTTACCTGAGAACATGCTGATGTGACTGGAGCTTAGCCTCTCTCTGACCCCTCAGAGCACTGCTGGGCTGTTCATCACTGCCTTAGAAGTGGTTCTGCTCCTTGCCCATCACAGGCAGGAATTGTGAGGAGTTACTTTTAAAATATTTGTTCAACAATTGGGTAAATGCATTTCAGGTTCCAGCACAGCCCTTGTTATTTCACTTAACCCTCCCCTCATCCTAGTCTAGCAGATGAAAAGAAGAGTGGCTAAGCTGGCTGTTTCAGTCATACCTTAAATGCGTGGTGCTATAAGAATTACAACTGCCTCTAAGCCCCCAAAGTCACTTATAAGGGCTATACTAATCAATGCTAAGTCTGAATTTTAACTCCAAACTTGTGTCAATGAAAATAGATGCATAGTGTCAATTTTGCCTTTCTCACCATCAGCAACCAATGTTTCTAATTTTCTCAATTAAGTAAGTATCTCTATGTAGGATCTATGCTCAGAACATTATTACAATGGCATTTTCATCATAATTTGCAACAGTAACTTTTCATAAGTGTTAAAAGATCTAATCTACTTTGCTTTTGGTGTTGTTGTTCCACTTCGTGACAGGCCTACCCTTGCAGCAGTGATAAGGAATGTGAAGTTGGGAGATACTGCCACAGTCCCCACCAAGGATCATCGGCTTGCATGGGGTGTCGCAGGAAAAAGAAGCGCTGCCATAGAGATGGCATGTGTTGTCCTGGTACCCGCTGCAATAATGGTAAAGATCGCACTCAGAGTTGATGGGCTTCTTTCTTTTCATCTAGGAGGTCTGGCCGCTTAAACTACCTTTCCTCAGACTCCTGATATATAAAGAGTCTTTTTAAATAGGCAAGAATTAGAACATGGTTTAGATATGATTACTTGGATTACCTCTAAAAATCTTAGTTTGCTTAAGCTCTGATAACCTTCTGTATTGAATATTCAATGTTAAGCTAGGATTTGAAGGGTTGAAGAGTTGTGTGGAAGTAGCTAGATGTTCCATTCTACTAAACACATGAGGAAATGCATGCAAAAGAACCAAAGAAAAGAACCTGCTGTGATTTAGCAATGCAGTTGTGAGTCCATCTTCCAATTTCATGCCAGTTTCATACCTTGATTCTTATACTCAAGGTGTCTTATTTTGAAGGCCTTACCTGGTGGCACACTCAGATGGTGATGGAGTGATTTGTTCTTCCAATATGAGATACAGGAATCTATTCCCCAGACATTCCATAAGCATGGCTTCACCCAATCTCAATGAATTTATAGGCATGAATTCAGCAATAATAATAAAATGAAGAGCTACAGACATGTGGTAAAACCACTAAGTAATTGCATATGCTTATTCATGCAAACAACATAATCAGGCTCATGTCCCTATATTTGTTCCTTACCTCTGGGCAGAGTCCTACTGAAAATACCTTAGACAGTAGGCGAAGGGAAGAGGATCTCATACCATTAGAGATGCTTACAGTACAGTTTAGGATTAAACAAAGAGACATGAGTTTCAAAGATGGATGTCTGATCAGACCTTTTCAATGTATGAATAGCTAATATTGATTTAATACTTTACTATGTCACTATTTTAAGTACTTCACATGCATTCATGCATTCAAGGTAACTTAGTAAAATGAATTCTGTTTCTGTTCTGATTTTTGTCCAAGGTCATGTAGTCTTGAGTGAGACAAGGTGCCAATCAAGGAAGGTTGGCTCAGTGCCAAATTTTCAATACTTAGTTTCAATAACTTTGTAAATGAGTGAATGGATAACTGAATAGATAGATGATAGATAGATAGATAGATAGATAGATAGATAGATAGATAGATAGAAAGAATACTTGGGTAAGAACCACACCGTATAGAATTGAGTAAGACTAATGGCTTACCTGACCATCTCCAGGCATCTGCATCCCAGTCACTGAGAGCATCTTAACCCCTCACATCCCAGCTCTGGATGGCACTAGGCACAGAGATCGAAACCATGGTCATTACTCAAACCACGACTTGGGATGGCAGAATCTAGGAAGACCACACACTAAGATGTCACATATAAAAGGTAGGAATAATTGCACTTTTAAGTTGACTTTTTCTTATTCTATAAGGAAGTATAGAAAAATATAGATAATTAATTCCATTGGTTTTAGGAAGATACAAGGAAGATACTTTAAGGTCAAGATTTTAATTGAATCTATTAACTCTTAATTTTGAGGATGCTTAGAGCTTCTTTATAGTTTCTAAGTTGTTAGAAAATATGTGTTACAAAAATTGTGGTACCCTGATCAACTATGCAATCTTCTTTACAGTCCTTACACATGGAATTTAGAAGAATTTTTTTTTCAGTGTCTACAAGTAAAGTTTTTTATCTATTATATATTTTATTGATTATGCTATTACAGTTGTCCCATTTTTTTCTCCCCTTTATTCCCCTCTGCCCTGCACCACCCCTCCCACCAGCACACCCCGCCCCACCTTGGTTCATATCCATGGATCGTATATATAAGTTCTTTGGCTTCTCCATTTCCTATACTATTCTTAACCTCCCCCTGTCTATCTTATACCTACTATTTATGCTTCTTATTCCCTGTACATTTTCCCCCATTCTCACCTTTTCCTTTCCCTCTGATCTCCATTTCTGTGATTCTGTTCCTGTTCTAGTTATTTGCTTAGTTTAGTTGTTGATAGTTGTGAGTTTGTTGTCATTTTATTGTTCATAGTTTTTGATCTTTTTCTTAGATAAATCCCTTTAACATTTCATGTAATAAGGATTTGGTGATGATAAACTCTAATTTTACCTTATCCAAGAAGCACTTTATCTGTCCTTACATTCTAAATGATAGCTGTGCTGGATAAAGTAATCTTCGATGTAGGTCCTTGTCTTTCACGACTTTGAATATTCTTGCCAGCCCCATCTTGCTTGCAAGGTTTCTTTTGAGAAATCAGCTGATAGCCTTATGAGAACTCCTTTGTAGGTAACTGTCTCCTTTTCTCTTGCTGCTTTTAAGATTCTTTCCTTATCTTTAATCTTGGGGAACATAATTATGATGTGTCTTGGTGTGTTCTTCCTTGGGTTCAACTTCTTTGGGACTCACTGAGCTTCCTGGACTTCCTGGAAGTGTATTTCCTTTGCCAGATTGAGGAAGTTCTCCTTCATTATTTTTTCAAATAAGTTTTAAATTTCTTGCTCTTCCTCTTCTCCCTCTGGCACCCCTATGATTCAGATGTTGGAACATTTAAAGTTGTCCCAGAGGTTCCTAATCCTCTCCTCACTCATTCTGTTGTGGTTGAATATTTATCTCTTCCATCTGCTCCAAATCATTGATTTGAATCCCGGTTTCCTTGCCTTTACTGTTGGTTCCCTGTATATATTTCTTTATTTCACTTTGCATAGTCTTCACTTTTTCCTCCATTTTGTGACCGTACTCAACCATTTCTGTGAACATCCTGATTACCAGTGTTTTGAACTGTGCATCTGATAGGTTGGCTATCTCTTCATCGTTTAGTTCTATTTTTGGAGCTTTGATCTATTCCTTCATTTGGGCCATATTTCTTTCCCTCAACACACCTGTTATGTTGGAAAGGGCAGAGCCTTAGGTATTTACCAGGGTGGGGCAACCCAGGTCAGTGTTGTGACATTGTGTGTAGGGGAGGGGTCTGAGAGGGAACAATGCTGCTTGCTTGGCTCTCAGCCAGCTTTCAGTCATTTTCCCCGCTACCAATAAGCAAATTGGACCCTTATCATGCTGATTCCTGGGTGGGTGGGTTTGTGTACATTGTAGGACCCTTTGATTCTCTCCAATGGACTCTCCTGTGAGGCTGGGAGTTTCTCCCACTGCTGCATCCTCCACAGGTTCTTACAGCCAGACGTTTTGAGACTTTCTTTTCCCACACTGGAACCATAGATTGTGCAGTCTGTCTTGCTCCCCAGCTGTTCCTCCCAGTTTATCTGCATGCAAATCTGGGACCGCCTGGTCTGGCAGCCCCACCTTTTCCTCCAGCCACCACCTTGCCACAGGTCCTCTCTACCCCAGCTGCCCGATTTGGCCCCTCCTACCAGTCTGGATGAATGTTTCTCCTTTAACTCCTTGATTGTCAGAGTTCCATACGGTTTGATTTTTCTGGCAGTTATGGTTATTTATTGTTTTTAAATTTGTTGTCCTGCTTTTGGTTGTGTGAGGAGGCAAAGTGTATCTACCTAAGCCTCCATCTTGGCCAGACTAGAATAAATTTTTTATATAAGCATTTCTGTCACATAACAAAAGACAAATCATTCTGAAAAATAAATGGGAAAATGTTTGCTTCCATATGATTAAATTACTGTTTTTTGATTCTTTCTCATCTTTGCATATTCACAAATTTTATTTCACTAAATAACCAATAACATCCTATTCATAAAACAATTTACCAAAAATAATTGCTTTCTAGTGAGAGTATGTATGGCCATAAATCCTCTTCCTTCGTTCAAAATATTTGAGAAGCCCAATTTTTAATAATAAATTTTAAAAGTTTGAAACTTATTACTAGCACTACATTTTGAGAGCATGAAACAACCCAGTTTTAAAGGAAGCTTTTTGCAAGTGTATTCTGTGGAGCTCTTTCTTTCAAGAATTTTTATGAATAAAAGCGCCCTGTGTTTTGTATTTTGTAATAGTGTATCTTGCCATTTTTGGAACTTTATAATAAACATTGGTATATTGAAGGCCCTGAGAAGTCCAGTGATGAAGAACTTTTGAAAATACTGTACTTCCCCGACTTATTTGAACACAAAAACTATTTCCCCACATTTCCATGTTCTGTAGTGAAATCATCATATAGGATACCTGACCTATTAGTCTGACCTAGGATACTAATGGTCATGTGGATAAGGCTAGTTAGTAACTGATAGTTCTCCTTCAGTTATCCTTTGTCTACACTCCCTGAAGACCCAGTCCTTTAACCATATCTCCCATTTCTACTCCATCAAATTCACATTCATTTGTTAGTACATGAGCATCTCTCTTTATTGTAGCAGATGTCTATGTTACTGTACACTTTTAAATTTACCAATTATTTGTATATAATTATGTGTGTAATTTTATGATGGCAATTAGGAAAAAAATCTCATGCTGATGGCTAGTGAGTTGTGTTCTACGTTGCACAGTGGGACTGGTTACATTTGGGATGACAGAGAATCCTTTCCATCAAGGATTCTCACACCATGGTCTTCATGTCAAATCTGTCCAGCTGCCTGTTTTTTTTTTTAAATAATCTTTTATTATAACACAGACTTGCTCATTCATTTGCCATTATCTATGGCTCTTTTTGCAATACAACAGTGGAATTGAGGAGTTGTGATGCATATGATCTAAAAAGCCAAAAATATTTCCAATCTGGATGTTACAGGGAAGTTTGTTGACCCCTTCTTTATGCAGGTTACACATCAACCCAACTGTTATGTGTGGGTGCTCTTTGCTGACTTAATCCTTCTTCTGAATTTAATATCCATATTTGTGCTTCCACATGTTTTTTTATGATGGCTTCTTGGTTGACCATGGGGCTTTCTGCCCTTTCTCTATATCACAACGTTTCATAGACTGCATTTCGTAGGCTCCCTGTCAGATAGCTTGTGGCCACGTGGATATGGCTGGGGTGGTACACTGAGAAAGAGAGGAAGGAAAAAGCCAGCATGTTCTCCCTGCCTACACTGGTGTTTTCTGCAGGGCTGTATCTCCTTGAGGTTTTAGTGCTGCCATCTGGACCTGTTCAGTTCTCATCCTGGATCCTTTAGCCTAAATGTGGTAGTGGCTTCCTGCTGTTTTGCTTTAGCATCCTCTGGTACTTCTTAGTCCTGCCATTACCTGTGTGACTAGTTTGCTGCATTAAATACCTTTTATTTTGAAGAATCAGTTTCTGTTTTCCTGCCTAGACTCTACTACATGATCGTAGGAGTTCCTGAGAATTTCAGCCTCCTACTTGAATCAGAGTTTGTGTCCAACTCTCAAAATGGCCCAAATTAATTAAATTGAAAGCAATTCTTATTATTTACTTAGGTTTTACTCACCTAGTAAAAAAATATAATAATAATCAAGGAAGTATCTAGAAGCAGACCATGACAAAGTAAAGAGAAGACCAAGTACAATCAAGCTATTTATTAAACTTGATATTCAGACAAATGTGAAAATAAACAATAATGGATTTACATGATTAAAAGGAGAGCCAATTGATGTGAATCCAAGACATTGTGGAAGACAGTATTAGTAAAAATATTTTCTGTGCTTCTTTTCTGAAGTTTCATGGTGATATATTTTGGTCATCATCCTTTCAGGGCATGAAGGAGACCCCTGCCTACGATCATCAGACTGCATTGAAGGCTTTTGCTGTGCTCGTCACTTCTGGACCAAAATCTGCAAGCCAGTGCTCCATCAGGGGGAAGTCTGTACCAAGCAGCGCAAGAAGGGCTCTCATGGGCTGGAAATTTTCCAGCGGTGTGACTGCGCAAAGGGCCTGTCTTGTAAAGTATGGAAAGATGCCACCTACTCCTCCAAAGCCAGACTCCATGTGTGTCAGAAAATATGATCTCTTTGGAGAAAATGCATCCCAAGCAGACTGTGAATCTGTGCATTTAATGCATCGTGGCATGGTGGAAAATAGGGTTTGGATCTCAGAAAAATGGCTAATATAAGGCTTGTAATAAAAATAGAGATCACAGAGTGAGAGAAAGAAAAGGAGAACTGAACAGATTGGAAAGGGTGACAAATGTAGTACAACCAGTGTGTTTCCATTATGCAGCTGGTTTATGTAAATAATGTACACACTTGTGAAAATGCAATTACTGAGAAAAAAAAAAGCACAGGGAAAATTTCTGATGAATACCATGTAACTTTCCAATATTTTAGGTGGTGCTGGAGGATCAGGTTCCTTCAGATTGGTGACTGTCTACAAAATAACCTAGAAGCCATATTTCTGTTCAAAGTTATAGTTTAACAAAATACTCCCATAATATCTTGGTATACAATAGGGTCTAAAACATTAAAACATTGTTAAATAGGAAATGAAAAACAGAGCAGAGTTAAGTCACAACACGGAATCACCTTTTATTTTAGAACACTACTACTGTTCAATTAAAGGCCTTGGTAGACAAGGAAAAAAAGCAGTTGTTATTTTCCAAATAATTGCAAAATAATTGCAGGTCTTTTATCAAGGCCTTTAGAAAAGAAAAACTTGTTTTTCCTCAAACTGCTTATTTATATTTTCCCAATATTTTACTTTCACCTACACTTACTAAGAACCAGCATGACAAGATCAAAGTAGTCCATTCAGATTCTCAAAGAATAACATTGCATCTGTCTAGATTGTATGTGATTCCTATCATGAATATATTTTATTTTCCCACTTCTCCCCATTAGTCATGAAAAGCACAGAGCAGGATTTTCACAGATTACAAATCTTTTTAAGATTAACCAAAATACATGGAAAACAATGCTAATAGGTCATTGCTTCCTAAAGCTTGGGCATTCTCTATGTTTTGATAGCATTATACTGGTAAACACATTTACTCTTTACATACTCTGCAGTATAGTAGGGTGAAGCTGTCAATACAGACTAAAGCTGTGCCTGTCCTGCATCGCAGCCAGCAAGGAAATGGGCAAAAGCTTGTCAAGTATCCAGGTTTGAGCAACTCATTGGTGTGTCTGAAGCACAAGATGACTTTTCATATGTGAGTCCCAATGCTGCACAACCAAAATGGAAATTTTCTATGGAAATTGCTATCTCAAATATTTACCACACAGATGAGCACGGTGTGGGGCCACTACTTGATCTCAAAATATATGTCTTATGCATTTGGGGTCCTAAAATAATATGAGGAGTTCCCACAAAATGGACTCCCAAGAGAAGTAGTACATAGTAAGTTTTCATTGTCCCCAATAAAGCATCTAACTGGCAGGTGGCAACATCTGATTTTTCTGCACAAACTTTTTTCGGCAACAGCTTTTTACATTGTTATGATTTTTCTACCAAAGATATAGTTTCTGTTTTCTGCAGCCATTGACATAAAAAATATATAAATGGAATAAGTTGTAAAACCTACATATTGCTAACCTATAAAAACCACAGGTTCTCCATTCTTTGAAACTATTTTATTACTTTTTTTACTTTACTCGCTTCTAAATATTATGTCTAGAGCATAAGGCAAAAAAGTTATAGTTGTTATTTTTGACCTTTCCTTTTATAGACTAAAAGTCATGCCTTAATTTTCTTTTATTTAACCTTCATTTTCAGTATCAAATTCAAGTTCTTCCAGTAGAAATTGAAACTGAGCCTGCATGTCTATTAAGAATTTCAGATACCCACACACATTTACTAGGATAATTAAGATTTATATTTTTCCCACATGTCTGAAAAAACAAAAAATTTCAACTAATCTATCCAAGAACCAAAGCCTGTACAAATAAGATTCTATAAGCTTGGCAACACAAGAATGGAACATTTCAGTCAAACGTTTCCTATGTAACAATTACATTTACAATCTGGTTTTTTCATTATTTCCCTTATGGACACCCCTTCAAAAATTATTATTTGAAGTAATTTATTTACAGGAAATGTTAATGAGATGTATTTTCTTATAGAGATATTTCTTACAGAAAGCTTTGTAGCAGAATATATTTGCAGCAATTGACTTTGTAATTTAGGGGAAATGTATAATAAGATAAAATATATTAAATTTTCTCCTTGAAAAACTAATTTAAAATTTTCTTGTATTTTGCTTATGGGGAAAACTTCCACAGAATCATAGATTCTCAAAGTTCAACTGGACTTGGTCTGATTTTGCAGTCTGAGTAAGAATCCTTTGGACGGCATTGCTGGAAGATGATCCAAGGTGGTTTACTGTTACTAAAGGCAGCTTCTTTCATAGCATTACAATTGTAATGCTATTGTTAGAAAGTTATTTTTTCATTCAAGTATTCCAGCTTATGTTTTCCACTCATTTATTCTTGTTTTACCTTCTGGAACATCTTGGAAGAAGGGTTCTCTACAAACTTCTTCAAAACACTTGAAGCCACCTACCATATTTCTCATGATCTTCTCTCTAGGTTAAAAATTTTCGAAATAGAAATGCCAGCATGCTTAGGATATTGGTTCCTTCCCTTATGGTACAAAGAAGATGCTTCCTGAACACAGAGATGTCAGGAATGTTAGACAAATGGCACTCACCAATTATGAGACGGGGTATGGTTGTAAGAGCCCATGTTATACTGGAGATGTTAATGGACTGACAATGTGGAAAAATAAACATTCTGTGACATAGTGGAATGGATTAAGTACAGCTATGGCAGCTTAAGGAAGCTGAAACCGTCCCATAGCTAGAGGTAAGAGTTGAAAATAACCTCAAGTACTGCTGAAATAATCCACATTTCTAATTAGTCACTTAAGGGTACTCATCAATATTTATCCATTTCCTCAAATTCAGAAGATTTGTATTTTCTAGCTATAGTGTATTTCTATACTATACCAATCATATGGGTGTTTTTTTTTTCTTTTCCTTTTCCATTGAGCTCAGTGAGATATTCTGAGAAGGGACAAACTGTCCTGACTTCCTTTTTAGCTAAGAAATGAAATACCTATTGTAGTCTTAGCATTTGAGGAAAAAAATCAATTATACTTTTTTCCTTCCCTAAATTCAAGCCATTGGAGAAAAAGGTTAAGACAGAAGGGCAGATGACATAGATTATCCAGATATGATTAATATTGGAGAATGTGGCTTGTATCTGTGGTAAAGAGGACACCAGAAAGAGACAGTTTCTGTGCCCATTCTCAAGCAAGACTAGACAATGGAAATTCTACCTGTGGGAGCTGTACCTGTAAAATTCATAGCATAGATGGGCAGAACAGGATGACACACTTTCTTCTGGCAGTTAGTATGAAAGAAGGGTGGGGAAGAGATGGAACTATGTTTTTCTCATTAAAGAATTTCATTTGAAAGTCTTCAAAATTAAATAATTCATACCACATGAGAAGAGTAAGCAGTGGATGAGTGAGACAAAGAAAATTATACAGTACACATTAAGCTAACATTAAGAATTAGAAACGACCCCCCTTGATATCATTCTCCACATATTTATATTTTAACCCATTGCACATAACCATTTGTCTATGGTGAAGATATGGATTTTACCCCAAATCTGATCAGCTTCTACTAGAACAGTACCTAATGAGGTCATTCCTCAAAGCCAATCACTTCTTCTATATAGATCCTCTCAGGACCAGTGGTGGACAATTTAAATTTTATCCTCCCAAAATTACAAAATGAATGAAAATAGTTAATTAGTACAATTTACTCCAAGACCACAGTATACTCAGAACTGGAAAATAACTCCTCTTTCTCTTTACCATCCCAAATTATGTTTATGGCTTTATCAAAGTCTATCAGAGTCTCTACAGTGAGATTAAATGACACATTGGGTATCTGATAATAAGATGTATAAAAGCACTTAAACATAAAATTCCAGAAATGCAGAGATGCTCCACTTTTGAATATAAATTCTCTTCCATTAAAAATCCCTAGAAGATAAAGCAAAAAACCAAACCAAAACAAAACAAATCTCATAGACACAGACAACAGTATGGTGATTGCCAGAGGGAAAGAGGGGTGGGGGGAGGTAGAGGAAAGTAAAAAGGGGATAAATGGTGACAGAAGGAGACTTGACTTGGAGTGGTAAACACACAATATGGAGGTGATGTATTATAGAATTGTACACCCGGAACTTATATACTTTTATTAACCAATGTTACTCCAATAAATTCAGTTTAAAAATTCTCACAAAATTAAAGTATAAAATTTTAAATTCACTTGCATATTAAAGTCAAAATAAGTTGAAGTTAAATAAAGTTAAAGTCTGTATTTGTTATCTTCTTCTTTAAGAGAAGGAATCCAAACAAATTGAAATTCAAAATCCTCAAGTTCATGGTTAGAGTTTTCTGCCTTCATTCCATAGTTGGCTCTGTTTCCACCAGAGGGATTCCTTGATATCTGAGAGAAGTCAGACTTCTTCTTCAGCTGCCTTGACAGTGTCTCAATGGGATGTCAAACTCCATTTTTAAAAAATGTCCAATGAATTTTTAGCACACATGAGAGTAAGCCAAAGATTTTACCATGTTTAGAAAATAAGTCACTCTCTAGCTCTTAGAGCAGATATCTCAGAAAATATGCTAGGACATGGTATTGTCAAAAATCATAACACAGATGCTTGACATCTGGGTGAAAGAAGATAGACGGAGAAAATATTTGCTTTTGCAATTGCTAAAAATTTCAGTCAAACACAATGAGCTATCTGGAACCCATGCCCTCTGTACTTAAACTTCCGTGAGAAAAATATCCCACCAAAACTTTAGCTATAGCACTGTGTTTTACTATATGGAACAGTGGGAGAGGAATGTACCTGTGTGTTCCATCTACTTTTAGCGAGTGTATGGTATTTGAGGCATTGCTGCCTGCACGTAAAACTGGTCAACTTTAGAAGTTCGTCATGGTATTAGCCTTATTGGGGCTTCTATTTTATGGAGCCAGCATATTAAAAGCATCACCAGTGCTTAACTGAAAATAGGTGTGGTTTGGCAATGTGACCTCCACCACATTCTTCAAGCTGCCCTTGTTAGAGGAGAGCGACAGGGGCAGCTTTCACTGCTTCACACTGCGAAACCAGCTCCTCCCTCATTCCTGCTTTTGTTTTAGTTCTAGAAACACATCAGTGGATCCCCGAAATAAAATTACTCTTGATACTTACAAAACTTATTTTAGCAAGGGATGTCCGGGGAACAGAAGATACTCCCAACTTACTTTTTTTCATAGAAA